CTAGGTGCGTTCCAATAAGTCTTTCTACCAATATGACCATGTTGCGAAAACAAGGTCAAACAACCTCTACTCAACTTTTCGCTAAAAAGTTTATATTCGAGTCAGGATCAGCAGCTCAACTTCAAAATACATTAAGTGTAAGATTAGCAATATTAAACAGTCAATGCTCTTTTGCTTGAAAATCCTCTAAGGTGGAATCTGCTTCAAAAATCAAATCGAACCAATATGACGAAAATGTAGTGCGATTGTAAGAGAAGCCATAGGATATCGGGTTAAATGAATTAAAAATTAAATGAAATAAATTTAATTTTCGAATAAACAACCATAATTTAATTTGATTTAAAATCAGGAAATTTAGAGCCAGGTGAAGTATAACATTTAATATAATAAAGCACACTCTGAAGCTTCAATTAACCTTAAAAAAATTATAAAAAATATAAACTCGTTTTGAAACAAGAGAACAAAGAAAATTTTATCCTAAAGGGACATGGAAAGTCGGAAAATTAAGCAATGCTGAAAACAAGCCTAACCTTCGTTTCGTAGCCAGTTAGGAAGCCTAGCTGATGAGAGTACTTATATATGCCGTCACGGTCCCCTATAGACGCAGCATGTATCACACGGATGTAGTCATCCACGAAGGACTTCTGATAGTGTCTAGACGCACCAAAATCGAGAAGGACAATCTTTGGGAATAACATAGAAATTCAAATAAGGTAAATTAAAAGATGTGTACACATATATGCTAACGAAAAACCCCTAATCGTTTAATGTAATCGGTCTTTGATAGTAAAATAAAATAGTAAAAGTATAGATTTTATAATTAGTGCTTTTACTTACAATTAACAGAAATATTACATAATATAAATGGCAACATATATCATTTAAATTACAATGTGTAAATATTGTGTTGTTGGTAATATCGATAGATAATGAAGCAAATACCTTCCCAGTCTTGGGGTTGTATAAAAAGTTAGACCAATTAGGATCAGTTTGCATCACACGAAAAACGAAGAGCTCTTTAAGACAAAGACGAAGAAGTTGTTCCCCTATCTAAAAGAAAAATACAAAAGAAGAATAAAAGGAAATTTGAGAATATGCTGAATGAAAGATAGAAAACAATTTATTTAATAAAGAAAAACGGTAACTTGCGGAATAGTAACAGATGGAAAACAGTAAAAGCAAATTTCCATATTCATTAAAGACCTATCTTCTTTTCATATAAATGAAATAAGCCTTATTGAAACCATATTAGTTGTAGGGCATCTAGAGGGAGAGTGTCAACCTTTCGGGGGGTGATTAATTACAATAGTGCGCTTCTTAAAAGCGTTAATGCGAAAATGCATTATTACAATTTACCTATGAACTACTCATAAGAAAACTCTAACTTTCATTTGAGCTACTTTGGTAGCATACTAAATCTGAAGCAATTGAATGTCAATAAGCATTTTCGTTTGTCCTACCTATTATTGATGCTGGAGAAAGCACCGACTAGCGTTCTCATAAAGAATAGTGAAAGTAGTCAAATTTGGTAAAGGATTATAAGGCAAACGATTATGGAATAAAACAAAACAGCAATGGAAAGACTATGATGTGTCCAGCTTTTCAAAGTGTGACATAGAAAACAAATCAGCTAAAATCATCAAATAGCTCCTCACTTTATAAAGGGATAGTAGACAAATACTGCTCAATTGCTGGTAGCTGAACTT